GAGACACCTTAGTGGCTTCATCATTGTCCTTATTCACTGAATTTCTTCCCCTTGTACTTTAGGGCCTCTCACCAGCTCCTTCAGCCTCCAGTGCAGACACCAGATTTTGCATTTAAACCTTGGGGAATGCTTGCTGTCCTTGGTCAGATTTATACAAGAAGGTTGGGGATTTGGTTATTAATTGAAGCCTGGATGGGTAGTGTCATTTTGGACAAAGCCCTTTAATCTTTGGCCTGTTTGTGGAAGTAAATGATGCAGAAATCGCAACAACTGTACCAAATTATTCTACTGCAGATTTTGGCCTGGCATCTCGCAGCATCAGGGGAGCAGAGTGGGATTGCTGCTGTGAGACGGGGAGGGTGGATGAGCTTCATAGCAGAAATGCAGCTGGGGAAAACCAGCTGGAATAGAGCACCGGAAACATGAATTGAGAAGTGGTCCAGAAGCAAAAGGGAGAAACAACAGAAGTCATTCATGAGAAGGAAATGGGCACTGGAGTGGATTAAATGCAGAATGTTGTTACACACACTGACACCAGAGCAGAGGAGGGGTAAGATAAACAGGAGGAGCCGCTCACCAAAACAGTGCAGAACAAACCATCCCTGTGTTAGCAGCACTGCAGTGAGTCCAGAGGGAAGGAGGGGACAAGGGATGGACCATTCCCGATGGAGCCATGCTGGCTTTGCCACAGCTGGGATGGGTGCAGGATTCCCTTGGCTGGGAATCATCTCCCTTCCTGCCATGGGGACCCCTGAGTGTGGCATCACCCTCCCTGCCAGAGCTGTGCCAGGGCTGTCCCCAGCACATGTGTGCCAGCCAGGGGATGTGCTGGCACCATGCATGGTGTTGTCAAACCGTGCTCATCTGTGGACCTTGAGCAGGCAAGGAAATTATTTAAAGAGCTGATGAGACATTTTTATTATTCCCATGAAATTATATGGAATTATAGTTTTAAATGGAGGGGAGATGTTTAAAACCTGTATTTTAGAGCCAAATTAACGCTGTGCTTTCTGGAAGGTTGGCCTGTCAGGGGGTCACCTCCTGCTGTGCGTGGGGTTTAGGACACGGAGGGTGGGATCTGTTCAGATGGAGCGACTGCTGTTCCTGGCTGGCATTGGCAGCAGCATCACTGGTGCTCAGCTGTGTGTATGGCAGCTGTGGATGGTGCTGCCACGTCTGGTGCAGCCCGTTTGGAGCAGAGATGGGCATACAAGGGGCAGACTCTATCCAGAGCATGAATACCTGTTCCTAAACAGATTTAAAGAGGTTAATTGGGTTGGGATGTGCATGGTTGAGGTACACTTCTAATGGGAACGTTGAATCAAGAAGCAATGGCTCTAGTGATTCTTGTACTACTGTAATTAGTTTTAAACTTTCTTTTTGGCACTGTTGGAAGCAGCTTGGCACCGTGCCGGCGTGACCTGATTAAACTTACAAATTGTCAGCCTTGATCTATAGGATGCCGAAAAGGTTGCTGACGGAGCATCACTTCAGAAATTCTCCACTTAAAACAGAAAGAGATTTAAAATGTTCCCAACAATACAATGCAGAAGTGCTGTTGATTTTAAACACACACTCAGTATCCCAGTGTCGCGATAGCAGCCATATCGCTGCGTGCTGCATGGCAAGGGGGAGTTTCAATCCTTCTTCTCTGTCCTCACTTTTAAGCAGCCACCAGAGCCTCTGCACCCTGTTCCCACTGCGGCCATTCCTGAGGTGATGCTCCCACTTGTCTCCACCATTTCCCTCCTCCAGTGTGGAATTTCAGCTCCATGTGTGTGGAGCTGGAGTCCATGGGCATGTATGGAAGCGGCTGCACCCGTGGGATTTGTGCGGGTGGGAGCCACAGCATCTCCCTGTTTTTTGCCTGAAGTCTCCTGTAGTTGAGGAGTGAGTGACAGTTTTTTCCCTGGCATTTTGGACCTCATAGGAGAATGGAATCCAGTGGTACGAGTCTCCGTAAGGCTAACGTGGTGCTTAGATCCATTTGAAAGGAAATGAGAAGCAAATCAATTGCTTCCAAATAAATAATGCACATACTTTTACCACACTTGCATCAAACTGATATAATGTATAGGATAATGAGCATGCATGAATGAATGTGCATAGATGTAGCTATGTCTTGGAAAAGAAATGGAAGATGTGTGTCTCTGTCCTCATGTGAATACTGTACTCATGTGACTACTCCTTTAGACTTACAGTGAAGTGCTTAAAACTCGTGCAGGGTCCTTTAAAAGCTGCAGGAAGATGTTCCTGCTGTGTGTTAGAACCAAGTGTCCTATGGCACTGCCATCACCCCATGGCAACTGCCTGGGCTGTCCCGGTGCAGGGTGACCGTCTGGGTACACCACAGGGATTGAGGCAGGGCCGTGGCAGGGCTGGTCCCCATGGCCCCATGGGGCAGGAGGGCTCCTCTCAGGCGTGCAGTGAGCGGGCAGCGGCCGAGCAGATGTGAGAAATACTGACTGTGTTTTCTCTTGTTCTCTCTTTTCTGCCCAAGGTTTGAGCATCCGAGGAGCCCAGGAGGAAGACCCTCCCGATCCCCAGCTAATGAGACTAGACAATATGCTTCTGGCAGAAGGAGTCTCAGGTCCGGAGAAAGGTGGGGGATCGGCGGCAGCAGCTGCAGCCGCAGCAGCCTCTGGAGGGTCTTCAGATAACTCTATTGAACACTCAGATTACAGAGCCAAATTGACCCAGATCAGACAAATCTATCACACAGAGCTGGAGAAATATGAACAGGTCAGACATCAGCCTCTCAGTTGTACATGTACCTGCCGCTGCTCTCCTCCACACCTCTGCTTGCGAGCGCCCGCCGCTGCCCCGCTCCAGACCACATCCCTACCCCCTTTCCCCATCCCTTTCCCCCCTAAAGAGCCATGCTCGGAGTCCATTTGGCTCTGAGGAGCCTCTCACTGGACCAGGATGCATGTCTTGCATGTCTGAGTGTTTTCTGTTTGTAACTGCAAATAGCAACACCCAAACCCGTGTTTCTCCCCTTTGAGAGGGAGAGAGGAGGAGAGTGTCTGTCACTCAGTGCTGCTTCTGTGCCCTGTGATGAAGTGTTGCAAGGCTGGGGAGTGCAGGAGGGAGGGCAAGGGGCAGTGCTGGTGATCTCAGCCCATGGGCTCCTAAGGAGATTGCAGGGGAGCAGGCAGTGAGGTGCTGGCACAGTGCCTGGCCGAGGCTTTGGGAGGTGCTGCTATGGGTATAGAATAGGGAGGTCCAGTTCAGGTGGACTGGCACTTGGTGTCTTTGTTTGGAGTAAAGAGAGTGCTGCAGAGACCCGTGGGCATACGTTCACTGCTGGCACCTGGTGACCTGCCGCATTTGCCATGCTGGTAGTACCAGGAATGTTTGCCATGTGCTGCTGGATGCAGTGTGGCTCCTGCCCATAGGATGCAGGCTGCACTGTGCCAGTTTCCCTGTAATCCGTGGGAGAGGGTGCTCTGCCTCTGCTCTTTTCTGGTTTTGCAATGAACAACAGCATTGAAGGAGATGGGAGGGAAGAAAGACACGAGACCCCTAGCCCTTGCAAGCCTCAACCGATGTCTTCATTTTCCCCTCCCAGAGGTGCCCTAATAAAGCTTGTAAACCCTGAGCCTAATCAGCTCAGCGAACCTCATCAGCTGGTGGTTTCCTGAGCTAAGCCGTGGGATGTCCTGTGCTTGCCCCAAGCCCTTCACAGCGAAGTGTTGGGCTATGCAGACCAAAACTACAGAAGAGAGACAGAGGCAGTGATAAAACCACTTGGAAACACAAGGGTGAGGAGAAGAGTGCACTGAGATGCCTGGCTCCTTTCCAGCCCTGTGCTCTGCCTCTGCATCCTTCCCCTTCTGCATCCCCAGTGGGTAGCGGGGCCTGCCTGCCTGCCTGCCTCAATAACTCCTTGTTTTAGAGTTTCCCTTTTGTCTTGTGAGGACCCTCTGGAAGGTCCCTGGCTACTTTGCTTAGGTTTTTTTATACCACCAGAAACAAAGGCATGGTGGGTGCCAGGCCATGCTGACACAGCTGAGTGGTGCCCACCAAGCATAAGCAGTGGATGGAAGTGATGGGGTGCTGGGGAGTGGATATGGGGCACCAGTGGGATGTGGAGGAGGACTGAGGTGATGTCACCCACTGGTACAATCCATGCAGGATTGTGGCCTGCGTAGCATAGGGCTGGCATGGGGCTGATGTGGTTCAGGTGGTGGTGGCACAGTGTGGTTCGGGTGATGGTGATGTGGCGTGGTTCAGGGGCTCATGGTGTGATGTGATTCAAGTGCGAGGGGCACTGCCTTATCTATGCTGCCTCTTTCACAGTGTTGTTCAAGTAGTGAACAAATAACAGCAAATACAGACAGGGTCTTTGTGCAAATCTCCTTTTCTCCCTCACACAAATCCTCCATCCCGCACCTTCCAAGGAGCCTGAATATCCTGCATGGCCCCTTGGGCGTTGTGCTGCAGGGCCCCAGTGTGCAGCCCATAGCGCTGGGATGGGGATTAATGAGCACCATCCAGCAGGAGCATGCCTGATAAAGCCACAGGGACACAGGCTGCAGGTAGATCTGGGGCCAAAGCAACTGCAGGTTGGTGCTTGCAGCTGTTTCCTGGCAAGTGTCCTTTGCCTCTAATAAGTTTAATGATGTGGGGGAAGCAGGAGCATTTTTAGCCCTGTAGCTCCATTTACAAAGGTTTCGGTTGAAATGTCACAGCCATCCGTCCACACCACGGGAAACTTTGGAGGATGCTCAAGTGCTGCTGCTAAGAAGGAGGGAGAAGTGGAGCTGATCAGAAACGTGTACAATTCCCTGTTGATCCTGACACCCAGCCACATCTGCTCTACAGAAACATGATCATTTCCCTGGCGTGGCAGCAAACTGTCTCCTGCCGGTTTGTCTCAACACAGCCAAGAGGCAGCCAGGACTTTGCATCTTTGCCTCCAGAGATGGCAGGTTCTGGAGAGGTGGGTGCCCTCCTGCAGCTCAGCCCCACGCAGGGACACCCGCCTTGTGCCGGAGCAGCTCCTGCCACCTCCCCTGTGGTCCCACTGCAGCAGGAATCAGAGCAGCTTCCTGGAGATGCTTTCCCGTGGAGTTTGATCCTGATATTTGTTGCCAGTTAAGGGAATGCACTCAGGGAGAAAAAAAAAAGAGAGAGCAAGAGAAATGGAAAGTGTGTCACGCCATCACACAGCTCTCCCCTCGCCGTGCGCCGCGAGAAATGGCCGTACACAGGCAGCTCCTTCCATAATTTACAGCTACTATAATAGAGATGACATATTGAAAGCTATCTTCTATAATTACACTGAAATACATTTTTTGCTGTAGGCAAAAGTACTGGAAGGGTCCCAGGTCTCCCGGAGCAGCTGGGAACCTGCTTCTTGAGTTCACAAATGTCTTCTGAATTCACCCCAAATTGGGGTGAAGTGTGGCTGCTCGGAAGCCACCACCAGCCCCACAGAGACTATTTTGGGCCATTTCCTCTCTTTTTCTTGTGCTTGTCTGAGGAGTCTTGATGAAGCATTAAGGCTTAGCAGGAGCATCCCCGCTCCTACAAGGTTTCTGAGCAGGTTAACAAGGCCATCACTTATAACCTGACATTATTAATAATGTCTCGGGCGCCAAGCAGAGGTCTGAAAAATAGAACTGAAAAAGGGATCGAGTAGCTCGGACGCTATAAATAAACAAGAGAAAACAAGACAAAGCATCAGAGTCTTCTGAGCTTGCTTCCACTCTGCTGCACTGAAGTGACTCTGCAGATGGGAGGTGCTGGTGAAGATACCTTAAACCCAGGCTCTCTAAGTAGCTGTAACCAAGGGAAGTCTCATCAAGCAATTCAAGTAAATTCAGGGAAAGATTTGTGCTTCTTGAAGGCAAGAAACTAATTTTAGCTTTGAAGCATCTAATTTTGGATACTATATTCATGGAAAAATATTTCTCCTAGAAAAGACATATCTGAAAGTATTTTTAATACAACAGTTGCCATTTTTATTGTACTTTAAAAATGAATTCCCTGGATCTTCAAATGAGGGACCACATGGCAAGCTGTGTGCCTGAGATGTTCTTTGGATTCTAGGTGTATTTTGGGGATGGTCACTGCTCTCCTGTCTCAGTGAGGGGGTTGCTGTGTTTCTGTGCTTACATTACCTTACCTCTGCACATCATTTACCAGTGAGCCAGAGCTGGTGCTTTGGCTGCTGGTCAGATGGCTGAACCCAAGCTTTTGCATGCTAAGGTTGTCCAGGCATCTTGATAGATGACATGCAGGAAGGATGCGGTCCCAGTGCAGCGATGCCGGCAGGAGCAGGCACTGGTGCTCCAGTGGTGGCTGGTCACCTCTGTGAGCTTTGCTGCCCGAGATGTCCAAATAGAAAGAGAGAAAATATGCAGATAGGAAGCAGGGATGAAATGTGTTGAACTCCTTAACCTGGAGCTCAGAACGGCTTGGGGAAGTTGTGGAGCAGTGACTGACGTAGAGCGGTGTTGAGCTGGCAGTGGGTGCCTGCACCAAGGCTCGCCGAGCCTCACCAGAGCGCTGCCTCCAAACGGGTGCTGCAAGGATGTAAATTAGCCTGTAATTTACTTTCAGTAGTGTAAAGAAAAAAAAATCACTTTGCCTGAAGTGTATGCATCTTTCTTAAGGGTGCACCCAGATTTTAATTATCTAAATGTAAATACTTAACGAATTTTACTTAGAGTAATGAGCTAAAGTGCACACTACATAAATGAGATGTTCTAATTAATCATGTATGAACTACTGGTTTAAAGAAAAGCTATGTGAATTCTGCGAATGTTGGGCTATTGCCAAATTGCTAATCAGCATTTGCATTCATAGATGGCTTCACTTAATAAGTTGCGAGACGTTCAGCAAATGTTATAGGAAATTATGAGTTTTTAGATGCATAAACTTTTCACTTTTAACTCTTTCCCTCACACCATCTATTGAAACACAGGAGAATCCCCAAAAATGGAGTTGTCAGACGAATCATGTAGATGTTTTTCACCCTCAATGTAGAGAGAAAAGGGGAACTAGAGTTAAACAGATATGTAATGTATGGGGCGTGGATGAGATTCTTCTTCCATGTGATGTAGTGGTTGCTGAGCATCATGCTCATCACCCTTTACATTAGATGCATGAGAGTGAAATCATGTGGCCTTGGCCATGACTGCAGCCCAGTGCTGTGTTAAGCTGGCTGGTCCTTGCACACATCCACCTTCATCTGATGAGGGTCCTGGAAGTCCAGAGCAGTTTGCCTTGGCTGCCGGCAGACCCCAGCCCCTCTCCTCTTTGTGACAGGGGTAGACTTGTGCCCAAAATGTGTTCCAGTACCAGGCCAGCCCCAGGAAGGGATGAGCCCCATGGTCACCATACAGCTCTGCCCAGCAGACAGCCGCCCTGGGGTTGGGTTTGAGAGAGATAAGAGACATAAATCAGCAGAGTTGGTGGCAGCTCCCAGCCTGCGTGGGGGAAGCTGGAATGCCAGTGTGACAGCCGTGTGGTCATGGGGAGGCTCGGATCGGGTGGTGTCTGTTGATGCTGCAGCCTGGAGAACTTTATATCATTGTGTCCATTCACCTGTGTAGTCTGGGACTGATTGTTGATGGCTCCTCCTTGTGCTTTCCCTCCTTCAGGCTCAGGCACGGCTTTGCTGAACCCCACTTCTAAGGGGACACACATGGAAAGGTCCTCACTGGCTGTGGGGTGTTAACCCTGCCTGCTCCCTGCCTGGGCTCAGTGGGTTACAGCGCTTCCCAGGTTTTGCTCCCTTGGCTGCTCAGTGTGTGCTGGTCCCCGCTCACATCCTCCTCCTGCCGCAGTCGTTACATGCACAGATCCCAACCTCTCCTCTCCACGATCCCAACCTCTCCTCTCCCCATGTCTGGGAACATGGGGATATTGAAAGGGAGAAGTGTGGAAAGAGCTGTGCTGTGGTTTCTCAGCTCCCCTGGCTGCTGCAGGACAGTCCTGGGTATCGTTAACAGTGTGTGTGAGCTGCTCCTCTAGCTGTGCACAGGCAGAGGGGACAGGGCTATGTGAAGGTCCCCCAACCCCTTCCCCATCACTGCCTTCCCCCCAACAGCCAGCTCTGAGGTTGTGTCCTTGTGGGATGGCACAGAACAATTTCTAAACCTCTCCTTCCTTTGCAGGCATGTAATGAATTTACCACACATGTGATGAACCTTCTCAGAGAACAGAGCCGGACACGTCCCATTTCTCCCAAGGAGATTGAAAGGATGGTGGGCATCATTCATCGAAAATTCAGCTCCATCCAGATGCAACTCAAACAAAGTACTTGTGAAGCAGTAATGATTTTAAGATCAAGGTTCCTCGATGCCAGGTAAGGCAGAGGCGAGTGCCCCTGGCTCTTTCTGGGGGGGCAGTTGTGTCCCCTCATGGGCAGGGACCTGCTGGAAAAGGCTGCTCTGGCCCAGCAAACACTCTGGGCCCTTGTCCTTCACTGAGCAGCTGCAGTGAAAAGGAGGGTTCTTGCACAGAGCTCTCATAACCAGCAGTGTCTTTTCTGCATATTGTAGTGCAAAGACTGGGCTTGTTTACCCGATGCTTGTTTGCCCTGCTCATCTGGGGGTCACATCACATTTGTGCACAGGGCTCTTTTGTCACCCCAGCAGTTCTTTCACTGGCTGCCGGTGCCGCTGTCTCGCAGCATAAGGCCAGCCTTGCAAAACACTGACCCCATAATGGAAGAGCCAAGTTCTCTGGGAGGGATGTGCCCACGAGCTGTGGCTGATGCTGGGTCAGCAGCTGCACACGCCCGAGTAAGAAGGACAATGATGCTTCCGAAAGCCAGATCTGCTGGCCCAGCTCCCAGCAAGCTGTCGCCTGACTGGGGCACAGGAGAAGGCAGCACCCTTGGACACCCTGTGCTGCTACACAGCACACCAGCCTCCAAAACAGGCTGCGAGGAAGCAGGCAGAAAGGGATTAGGAGGGGGTCTATGGGCACAGCCGCATTGGTTTGAAAGCCCTGATGGGGTGGGATATGGATCCCCATCCCCATGCCTTTCCATAGGGCTTCCCTGGCAGCTGGCAGAGCCTGGCAGAGCAGGCGCTGAGCCCGGCGGAGCAGGGAGGAGCAGCAGGCACCATGCAGAGCCTCCCTTCAGCAGCTCGCTCCTGCTTCACACCTGAAAGCTGCGAGGAGCTAAACAAGAGCAAAATAATTTTATTAACAAGGAGGTCACTGGCAGGTGTGGCAAATTAGGGTAATTACAAACAGTTGGAAGGAAACGTCTATGGAGAGCTCCAGTAACTGCGAAAGGTAAAGCTTGCAGATGCACATTTTAAAGTGATTTCTTTAAAAAGGAGGAAGGTAAATAAGGCAAAATGAGCGGAAGCACAGTAATGAGATAAACATAGCTCTAGGGAGAGAGTCTGCCTGCTCCAGGATACAGTGTAGTTAGCAGCATTGTGATACTGCTGGAAGAGAGCGCTGGGGATTGCGCTCCGCTGCCTGCTGGCCTCCGGCACAGGCAGTTTGATTGCATCCAGCCCTGAGGGGAAGGGAGCTCTGAAGGAAATGTTTAACCGGTGCTATCGAGGGGATGTTCTGGGGAGAAGGAGAGCAGCCCATGTCGGCTCGGAGGGAAAGCTCTGCAGCAGCACTGATGCCGCTGTGGTACCCTGGTTGGTGAGGGTGCAGCATCGGCTGCCTGCATGCCAAGGGATGCACTGCTCCCCTCGGTACCTGTCCTTGGCAGCATGAGAGCCTGGGCCCTGCTCAGCCCTCGGCAGGAGGGTGTACAGATGGGTCTCCCTCACAAAGCCCTGAAAGCCACTTGCTCACAGAAGCCAATTAGCTCAGCGAGTGCTACATGAGGACACGGTGGCAGTGAGGCCACCCAGTCCTTTTCCACTGTGCTCACCCAGAAGCCCCGGCTGACCTGCTGCTAATGGGAAGAGGTTCCGTAGGCTGCTGTCAGCATGGAGTGTCTTAACAGTGGAGGTTCAGGTGGGGCTGTGGAGGTGCTGCAGGTGGGCAGCCCAGCTCAGCACCCTGCTTTGCCTCTTGCTTCATCGTGTTTCCTGCCACAGCACTCAAATGTGGGGTGAAATCCACGTGGAGCTGGGTGGCATGAACCAGAAGCAGCATCCAGACCCTTGAAGGGCTGGCCCAAAGGGATTGAGGGTAGTGAGGCAGTGCTGTTGTGTTGCTGTGTGCCGTGGCATGGGCATGTGAGGGGTGCTTCCACTCAACTGACCCTGCCATAGACCTGTTTGTGTCTGGAAGAACAGCTGTGGTTTTCTTTTCTCCTTTCAGACGGAAAAGGCGTAACTTCAGTAAACAAGCCACGGAAATCTTGAATGAGTATTTCTACTCCCACCTCAGTAACCCCTACCCCAGTGAAGAAGCCAAAGAAGAGCTGGCAAAGAAATGCAGCATCACGGTATCGCAGGTAAGCAGGTCCCAGCCCCTGTGCTCTGCATCCCAGGCAGTGCTTTGACCTCCTGGCTCCCCTTGCAAAGCTGCCTCCCCTCTCCAGACCTTGGGATGTGCTTCCAGCAGAGGTGTGCCATATGGAGCAGGTCCCTGCCCGACGCACTGTTGTAATCCCTTCAAATTTGCATTGTCGACCATGATAAAGTTCAGCAGGGTGGTGGAATGTGACTGAGCTCTGCAGGAAAGGCAGCGTGCCTGCAGGTGGCTGGGGTTGTGCGGGGGTACAAAGATAGAATTAAAAGGGCAGTAAGGTTAGCACCCTACTTCAAGTCAGCTGTCTCTGCACAGTCAGTAAGATTCTTGCTGAGCCTTACTGTCTGTTATGAATTCATTACGACTTCCCATTATTTCAGGGGAAGGCCAGTTTATTGACAAACATATAATCTATCTCTATAGATCAGAATTTCTTTGATTGCTGGAAGTTGTTTTTCTAAGCCAGGCAGAAATTCAGCCTCTCAGTACACTGAAGTGACACCAGTGGTTTCTCTAGGAAAAATGTATTTCCTCCTTTTATCACATATAACAGATGTTACTGTGAAGTTTATGTGAGAAAACCAGTGTCTCCCTAATTGGAATGTGCACTGTCGTTGGCTACAGCTGCCAAGGTACCTTTGCAGCTCTGGACGGGGGTCTTGCAGTTATGTTCAGGCCCATGACAGTGCTCCATTGAGCTTTCCTTCACTTTCAGTCATCAGATAGTTCAAAAAACAGAGCAGCATTTTGCATTTTTTGTGGCCTATACATTTCATAGAAACCCAGATTATTCCCATAGCAAACCAGCTCGTACAGGAAAGGTTGCACTTGGGTAGCAGAGAAAGCTCACCAGCTCTCCCAAGTTCTCCCAGCACCCCATTGCCCATTGCGAGGGCCGGTGTGCCATCTCCTCCCAGCTCCATCAGCTCCACTTATCAATATTTCAGGTCCTTTAGAGGAACAATGCCTGCGGCGAATGTGTTAACTATTAATGACTGCAGGCTGCAGTATTGGCATTATTAGCAATGCAACCTTTAACTTTATAATTAAGACCTGAATCGAGATTTACTTTATAGGTCTTCACTGAATGCATGAAAAATTCAGGCATTTTATTGAAGACTTTTGAGTGAAAGGCTGCCCAGCCCCCCAGAATTTGATGTTACTTACTTGACTTTGGATGCACCCTCAGTACAAACCCTGGCAAAACTGCCCTCTGACATGAGAGGCCAGTGACATGTGTGCCTTGCTCTCTACTTGCTCATTGCTTGGTATGCAGCATGTACCATGCTTCAGGTAGGGTGGAAGCCCCTGTGCCCGTGCCAGGTGAAGGTAAGGGATAGAGACCACTTCTCCCAATCCATTTACAAGTGGCTGTGGTGATTGGCAGGATATTTTAGGATGAAATTCAGCATCCAACTCATTCCCAGCTGCTGTGGATGCCTGGGACCAGCCAAGCAGCCCAAGAGCACACAAGTTCCTGGCACCTTTATCTGCAGCCCTAGATCATATTGCTGGTTCCAGTCCTCTTGGCATGAGATGGTTTATAGCAATTCCTCCAGTAAGTGGTGTCCAAAATTTCACCCAGCAGACGGTGAATTGTGGCTGGCAGAGAAAGGAGTTAGTGATGCCACAGAGTGGACAGATAAAAAGCTAGATCTAGATAAGGCTGAAGTGACTGAAGGAAATGAGATGGAACATTTGAGAAGCCATAACTGATTGCTTCTAGCGCTAATAGATCTGATTTCTTTCTTAATTGGTTGTTTGATAAGATTTAATGTATGTGTTGTAAATGAAATAAAAGGCAGGCAGATGGTCCAAAAATGTAGCCGCAGCAGTAAGCCTGTGACATTAATATAGGTTTGTCTCTTTAATATTTGATATAAGCATGAATTAGTTGTTTCTTGAATCCATTAGGAAGTCTGTGTGAGCAGTGGGAGTAGCTGCATTGTGTCCCCTGTAGCATCCCAGGCTTTGCAGGGTGATGTTTTCCAGGCTGGAGCAAGGGCAGTGCTGGGCACACAGCCTGGGCTCTATCTGCCAGAGGTGCAGGTCTGGGGCCATGGCTGGTGCTTTGCTCTGGCAAGGTACTTATAAAAGGCTGGGAAAACCTCTGGATGATAGGAAAGCCTGAACACGGGGCAATACATCATCTGATGGGAGAGGAGCATGTGTGTGAGAGAGGGAGTGCCTGTGATCAGCTGGTTGCTTAAGTTCCTGATAGATCTGCTGTCACAGCTAGAAAATGTGAACACTGTGGATATCCTAATCTTTGATTTTCAAAGGCATTTCCAAAGGCTGCACAGTGGGACTGAGGGGTTGGTATTTACGAGGTCAAACTGGGCTGGAGTTGTCTTTCTTTGTACTGAAAAATGTATGTATTTTTGAGGCCATGTAGCAGAAAAGCTCTGAGCAAGCACTGTAAAATAGCCCAGTGCACACTGCTGTAGTGGTTGGCAGCAGAAGTCAGAGGATGCAATCCAGAAATCGGGTGAATTGAGCAGTCTTTTCAATACTGGCAGGAGTAGCATCGCATGGGATAAGCAATGGCATCCAAGCGAGTGACTGAGCTACACCTCACCCTGGGCTTCCAGGAAAATTCCCTGAGCACATGCATTTCCAGGCTTGACCAGGAGTCCCTGAGCCATCACTGTGCCTGGCACCATGCCCTGCTTACCTCCCTTGCTACAAATGCCCTGGAGGTACAAAAAGAGCTGGAAAAAGGGGGATGAAAAAGAACCATAAAGTTAACAGATGGCTTTCCAAGTTCCTGGATGATAGAGTTGGTGTTTGATGAAGGGGCTTTGTCCTTCTCCTGGCTGAGCCAGGCTTCCCCGGTAGCCTCTCCTAGCGATGATCCAAAGTGTTTCTTCCTTCTACTGTCAGTGCCTTGTAAATGCTGGGGGCAGAGTCATGGCAGAACATTTTCTCCATCTAACACTTAATTAGTGAGGTTTTGGGTTGTCCTCCCCCCAGATGAAGCGGCTCACTGGAAATCTTGCTGCCATAGCACTTTACCGAGCTGCAAAGAAAATTGTCTCCTAGAATCATTTCGTTGCAGATGGGAGATAGATGGCTTCAGTTTTGATATCGGTGTTTAAAATAATATGTAGAGAAGGTTTTTCAAGAAAAACATAAAGACAAACTATTTGTTAGGATGAACACCTCGCACAATTGCATTTTTAAGAGTATGGAAAAGGTAATTCTAGGAGAAAAAAAATGTCCTTACTGGAGAACATCGTCGGCTGTAATTTAGAGCTACCCGATCAGCACGTGTTGGAGGGAGATAAACTGTATCATCTGTTCTCCCCTTACCATAGCTGCGAGGCTGATGGTTTATACTTTTGCAGATGAGCCTCTTTCAGGGTGTCATGAACAACTATCAGTCTATCATATGGGCTATAGAGAGGGCATAGTCAGTGCTGAAAGCGTGTCAGTGGATTACAGCAATAAAATTTTTCACTGCTTCAAACAAAAGAAGGATGTGCTTGACAAGGAAATATATTTACTGCTCTTTTAAATAAAGAATGCAGGAGCTGGTTTTCAACACCCCTCCTGCCCCTGCTACTTTGGAGTCTGGGTCTGTTTCTGTAAGCAGCTCGATAGGGAGAGCTGTGGATATATAGGCTCTTAGCCCTTGACTTCATATGGGAAGCAGAGTTAAAAGAGATGTAAGTTTAATTAAATAGTTCCTAGAGGTAAAATTCTTCAGTTTAGCACATGAACCATGATAGTGACACATTGGTTTTCAAAATTTTCTATTTTGTGCCATTTGATTGCGTGTGGAACAGAAACTGTGCTACAGATGCTTGGAAACACAATGGAAAAATGTCCATGTGATCCATGAATGTGTAATCCACTAATTTCAGCAGTGATGCTCTCATGTCAGCTGCATCTTCTGCAGAACGAGCACTGATTTATCCCATGAAAGCAGACATGAAGCAGGCCTGCCCCATCCCAAATCCCACATTAGGCATCTTGATGATTTCAGTAATAATTTATTGTCTTTTTATTTAACATTGCAATTAACATGATAAATAAGAGCAACAGTATTGTTTGAAATGTAATATACAATTAAGCCCAATTAATTAATTGGCCTTCAATGATCAGGAGGAGAAAGATGTTGGTTGTTTTTTTTATGTGAAGAGATAGTTTGTTTTAATGAAAAATGTGTTGTGAAGCAGCTTGCAATGGAGACAACTTTCATTTTTAGGGTAAGCACAGGCTGGGTGAGGAGCCAGGGAGGCTCTTCCCAGTCCTGGTGCTGACTGGGAGCAGCCCAGCACCAGCATCCTGGTCCTGGTTAAGGTGAGGTGTGCTCTGTGCGGGCAGGGGAAGCTGCAAGCAATCAGCACAGCCCCACAGGAAGAATTCCACAGTGGCAAATCCAGCCTAAATCCTGCTCAGCACTGCTTGAGCAGTGACCTGCTCCCATCCTGGACACATCCAGCCGCCCATGTCGGCCGTGCACGCCTGGCTGCTGCCAGAGCCCTGTGCATCCCCGGGCCATGGCACGCTCTGCTGCAGCCTCTCACTGATGTGAGCAGTGTCCTTTGGCCGGGGGGTGAAGGGACCTGGGATGTGAGTGCAGAACCCTTGGAGGGTGCTGTGGCTTCCTGGGACGCCATGCTCTGCCCCTGCCCAGGGTGCACGCTTTGGTCTCACAAATAGTTCAACATTTCTGGGTATTCATTTAGATGTGGTGTGCGGGTTAAACATAACGTACGATCGGTGCTCCTCTCATTGCTTCCAATTAAACCTTGCTTGTTAGTTTAACCTCTAGGTAATCCCATCAAACAATTGATGTCAAGGAAACACTGCCCACAGTGGCTCTGGATGAGTGGCCATTAATTTTAATTGCCTTGATATTAAAGATTAAGAAGTATTGGGACTAGCAGAATGGAAACGATCTGATGTCAAGCAAATCCACTCATTGAGGCTTCCCCAGGCTGCTGGTGATATTAAAATTTTACTGTGAGAATTAAATAAACCTTTATTAGTGATGGCTGTTGTTTGATTGGTCCAGGGGCGTGCATAAACAGAAGGGTCTGCACACATCCATGGACAATACAGTTGATGTACAGAGATTCCTCAATTATGAAACTGTTAATAAAGCATAATCTGATTGTCCACAATAATTATTTGCTAGGTTTCATTAATGTATTATTGCTTCTTTGACTGACAAGGTAATATTAAGTGCAATATATAGAATTCGGTGGAGTATTACCTAGGGAATAGAATGTATAAGGTACCTTACGTATTACTGTTAAAAGCTAGAGGCTTTTCATTAATTGTGTTTAAACAAAAGCTGTGCTACATAAACTACAGCAGGATTTGTATCCTGCCTGCAGCGGGGTGCCTCGCCAGGCACTGTGGTAGAGCATGGGATGGAAGAGGTGCTGCAGAGCTTCCATGGCTCATGGGGGAGCACAGGACCCCAACTCTGGCCTCACACCGCGCCCAGGGGCTGGTGATTACCACTTGTGTTATTGCTGGTCCCCTTCCCTTTACCTCTGTGGTGTCGCAGATGCTTTTTTTGTCTCATTAGCCATGCCTGTCGTCCATGTTATAAACTGGGTTTGCTATTTAGGAGCTCTGTTACAGCAGCTGAAGCTAAACAAAGGCAGTGAGAGAGATTGTACCAACTTTTCTGAGAGGCTCCAGCCGTGACCTCTGTGTGGGTGAATAGTTGGTGCCCCATGAGCCATCTTGGCTTCAGTACAGTATCTTCAAAGGGAGATGACAAAGTGGCTTTTCGGTCATTATTGATTTATATGATTCCTTTCATTTTCAGCCGACTGAACACAGTTCTGTGAGTGGGCTGCCAAGGTTGTTCCAGCCCAAAAATAAAGAACAATTGCTCTCACTACCTGCTTGCCTTCACTCAGCCGGACCTTGGTCCCCCTTGAGCAGCTTTTGGGGTCTTGCACTGTTTTTGTTGACAAATGGCTCATAGTAGTGGGAGACAATGCTGCACTAAAGCTACAGCAAGCTCCAGGATATGTGTCATCATCAAAGAGTCACCCTTCATGCATCAGTTTGCCAACAGAGAAGCAGAGCCAGATCACACTCATTTCCATAGTAATATTAAACTGCTCCTTGGTTACTGCTTAGTTAACCAGAGTACTCAGCAGATATGGTTTAGGGGCTGGGACATGTGTAGTTGCTAGACCAAACCTGACATCTCAAAGGGATCAAGCTTTGCCAGGTCAAACGCTTTGTGTCCTTCACCCTTCCCATTTCTCTCCAATGCAGGTGTCCAACTGGTTTGGCAATAAGAGAATCAGGTACAAGAAGAACATCGGGAAGTTCCAGGAAGAAGCCAATCTCTACGCGGCAAAGACGGCTGTGACCGCAGCGCATGCCGTGGCCGCGGCGGTCCAGAACAACCAGACAAACTCCCCCACCACACCAAACTCTGGTACGTACCCGGCTTGTGCATTAAAGCATCCTGAAGGGCAGTCCCTAAAGGATGGTATCCCAGGGAGTCTGGTCGGGCTGCAGCTCCTTAGCAGACCTACTTGTGGTGCCAAGCCCATGGACCTCCAGGCTGGACCATTACAAGGGCTGAGCGCTGCTGTAGGTGGTCTCAATGACTTCAGTGGTGAAGCTCCTGCAGCCTCACAAGGGAGCAGAGCAGGGCCCACATAATTCCTGCAATGGTAATGTCTGCTTGGCTCAGGCTTCTGGCAGCTTCTTTGTTTCTATAGATATTTTAAGCTTTTTCTCATTCAGTGAAAATAACATCAAATGAGGCAGAGCTCCAAAGTCTGCTTTTGTAAGAACCTTTAAATTTATTGTCAAGATAAGAACAAACCAGAGGACTATTTTAGTGTGCACTAATTAGAATTAAAACTCCAGGTTGCTTGAAATGGAGTTGATATTTTATATATATATAGAAATCTAACAATGCAGCTTTTATTTTGGAGTTGCTCCACCACATGTTCTTCTGCAGCGTTTAAAAATTGCCTCGCTAGTGTGTTGCTGACATTGTGCAAATCTAAGCATTAAATTAGGAGGGGGAGTGTGTAAAGAGGAAGTCACTTTTTCGGGCTCCAGAGGCAGAGGTTTCCACACAACACAGATGTGTTTGACACTATTTACAGTGAACTTTTCCTGCGACTCAGTTGTAGACAACTTTTAAAGAGTATAACGATCCATGGGGAAAAAAAAAACAACCTTTTAAACAAAAGTAAGGAAAAGGTTTCTCCTCTGATGGTAATAAATCGGCTAATTAGAACTTGCCATTTCCTTGTGAAGGAGACATGAAGCACAGACCCAAAAGGAGTTTTTCTCTGAGTGTTTGGTGATAGCGTCTCACGATGGAGCAATCCACTGGAGGAAAGCTCTCGACAGGAAAACCTGTTGTTGTACAGGCTGCTCTTCCAGAGGGAAAAGCTGACCTGGGTTGCACAGGGCTTTCAGCTTTCCCAGCTCCCGGGTGGCAGCCGGTGCTCACCCTGCACTGCGGCCAGCAGCTTTCCCTCTGCTGTGCGCTGCCTTTCCTTCTCCTCTCCTGTCTTCTTCTCCTTCCCCTGCCCTCAGGTCTCTGGGGTTATATATTTGCAGCTCTCTGTTATTCAGCTACCTAACTCTTTCCTTTCCAGGTTCTTCTGGTTCTTTTAACCTCCCAAATTCTGGGGACATGTTCATGAACATGCAGAGTCTGAATGGGGATTCTTACCAGGGGTCCCAAGTCGGAGCCAATGTGCAGTCACAGGTAGGAGAAATGCCCCAAAGTAGGGCCTTTCTAGCAGGGTAGGGTTTGGGCTAAAAATTCCACCTTACTCTGGCTCTATTAAATGGTCTGTGCCTCGCTGCAGAGTGGAGGCTGCTTATTTCTGAATGTGACCTGCTCTTACCCCGGCACTGAATTTCACAAATATCGAGGAAAGAGTGATTTTTTTCTGATTGAAATTTTAAGCTTTGTGAATGCATTCGGCTCTGGCTTGAGCTCATGGAATGGGATTGGGTGCGTCTGACTTCCATGGACACTGTAAATCCAGTGAATTTCCTTTCTTTTTTCCTTTCTTTTTTTTTTCCTCCCCTTTTTTTTTTCCTTTTTAAAAATCATCTTTCTTTCATTGATTGGACAAACTTTTATTTATTTATTTACTTATTTAAATGTCAGAACACATCTAACTGAGCTGTTCAGATACAACTCATTCTCAGTCACTTTTCCAGTCCTTTCAGACAGGGCTAGCTCCATGTTTTACATGCAGTACATATGCCATAATCTCTTCCCATACATGCAAGCACATACAGACATATCAATATGCACAGCACTTTGCTGCAGACACTTAAGAAGGACCTACAGGACGCAGAGCTGTGAGGAAGTTGTTTGGCTGGTGTGAGAAGCAAGATGTATGGGTTTTAAGATGCAAGGATTTGTTGAAATTCTGCCAGTCATCCCTGATTGATAAATTTGCCTTTCATAGAAGATGCTAAACCCTTTTGGCTCACATAATTCAAAATGTTGCCTATTGTAAGTGATGATGTTTTAATAGATTTGGAATGATGAATTCTGTTTCCCCTTACTTTAAGGTGGATACCCTGCGTCATGTTATCAATCAGACGGGAGGATACAATGATGGCTTGGGAGGAAATTCACTGTACAGTCCACATAATTTAAATGTGAGTACCCAGGGGAACAATAGTTTGGAGAGCCATAAGCACAGTGTCAGGTAAATGCAGTCATTAATACATGTATTAATTACTCTTGTAATAGTGTTTTTAATACTGCATCTTTGAGGATGGGCCACAGAATAGCCCTTGATACAGCTGTAAGTCTGGATAACACGAAAAGAGAGAAATTCCTGGGGCTGTGACTATAAGTAATCGGAATTTTTATAATTTTCAGCCTTATGAGTTAAAAAGTAATAGCCTTGGAGAGCAGGCTCCTGTTCTTCACCCAGAGATGGCCAAATAACTCTGTACTCATGTTTGTTATTGCCTGCAATCACACACCAGCGCTGTGCTTTTGATACACTTTTAGCTGTTTCAAGGGTGCACGTTTTTCCTGTGTTTGAGAAGTACTTTTGGCCTTGTTATTCCAAATGGGAGAGTAGTAAGTGTGGCAAACAGATGCTAGTAAATTGAGGGATTAGGGGCTTGATGGTGATAGGTGCTAAATGTCCTACCTCTCGCTGTAACCGATGGGATCTGACAGTGCTCAGACCCTCGCAGGCTGGACCCCGTGGCCTGCACACGAGGCGCCAGGATAAATAAAGGCAGAGATCCATTCTTCTGTCGGCATAAAAGCCTGGGATGCAGTACCACCCACGGCAGCAGCCTCTGTGGTGGGGGCTCCACGGTGGATCCTCTTCATCCTTCATTTCCAGCTCGTTTCTCTCATTTATAACTTCAACAATTAACGCCTTATGGGGTTTTTTTAATGTTTCATATTTGCCTGAGAGGTGACTTTCATTTGTTTTCCTTCATATTCATGGACTCCAGGGTTACTGTAGAGAATTCCCTGTCTAGTGACTGTCACCCCCATGCCAGGGGCTGTCCCTGTGTCTCACAGCCCGCTGTGGGTTGAGGTGTGGGTGCTGAGCATCATGGGGAACCCACAGAGAGGGAAAACGGGGACACCCAGTGTGAGACACTGCAGCCACAGGGAGTGTGAGGTTTTTACCCCTTTTTGGGTTTCCACTTGCCATGAGAGTAAATATTAATGATTTAAAATGTGATTGAAGATGTTCAATTGTAAAGGGAGAAAAGTACCATTAAATACTCAAATCTTTTACATTTGAAATGTCAAATCTTTCTTTTTGGGTTTATAAATAACTCATAATAACCCACAACAAACCATATAAAAAGCCTTTTAGTTGCATTTCTCCTTTTTCATTTAAGTGTTTTGAAATGCTTCAGAGAATTTGCGATATCCTTATCAACATGATAAAATATGAAACTGTGATTGCCTGCAGCATTTTACAGACATGAATTCCATCTTCACTGATGAGGCCTGATAAGGCGCTGTTGTATAATACAGTGCATAATCTCAAACCACCAGAGTAAGGATTAATTTATTTGAAAAAAAGAATGCTTGCTGACAACCTCTCCTCCAGCTGCCAAGCTGAGTAAAAATATTGTACATTTGTTGTTTATAAATTTGGATAAAAGAGGAATGATGTTTACTTCAGATGGAATATCTTCAGACTCCTATCTGCACAAGAGTTTTTCTTTCTCTAAGTACATTCTCATATCTTTAAAATACAAAAAAGCAGCGGTGCCTCTGCATTTGGAGTGGGATTTTGTGCGTTTTCAGTCTGCATCTGCACACTTGAGTGTTTTAAAGCGGGTGGTGAGGTTTCAGCCTTGATGTGATTGCAGGTTGGGTGTTGCTGTTGATTTTACTGAAGACAAGCCAAACCTTTGCGTTTGTCAGGATAAGAGCTCCTCTGTTTGCTGGTTTTCATCTGCAAAGGAGATAATTACTGCTGAGCCTTCTTTCTCCTCCTGGTGAAGCCACGGAGCGGTTTCTTTTGTCATGATAGATGAACGATGATCTTAAATCCAGCCAGGTTGGGTGCGGGGGTTTGAGGGTTGACACCAGGCAGGCGTGAGGTCCCACACTCTGCCATCGCTCCCTCTGCCCCTTCCTCCAGGGGAGAGCACAGCGTTCCCACAGCCCAGTGATGGGTTTGGTAACGAAGCACGTCATGGAGGCATTAGCATAGGCTAACCTTTCCCTGCCGGGAAGCATCCCTGCCAAGGCCGGGGGCGCCGGCAGCGCGGGGTTCTCGCGGGCTGCGCGGAGAAGCCTCCCCGTCACTTCCACTCAGCGTCCCCCAACTCACGAGCCCCGCGCCTCCCTCTTCTTGACTGACATAAAAATATGGAGCGACAAGCTGTCTGCCACGGCAGAAATCTGATCAGACATTGATTTCAGCAATTGCCTCCATTGCCCGAGACATAAGGCAAATTTGTTCCTGAGCGCTGCTCGCGCTGAGGCAGGGCTGGGGCCGGCGGCGTGCGGAGGCACGGAGCGGCGTCCGGAACGCGGGCTGCGCTTAGAGATAATTGGAAAACAGACCCCAGCAACCCTTTGCTGCCTCTTTGTGTGCAGGTGGAGGGCTCTGCTGGCAGGGAAGGGCAGTTCCTAACTTCGGGAAGCAAGGGGGTTAAACACAGATTGCCCCAGCCTTGTCTTCTCAGGGGACAAGCTGAAGTGTTGGCTGAAGGGATGTTCTTCATCAAAGCGTGGATGGTCTTTGCAGAAATCCCAGAGTCCTAATTGCAGCTAACATCTGGCTAAACGGCTGCTGGTCTCTCAGCTTTCCTCCCCGCTGCAGGCTCTGCCTTATCCCAGCTCCAGCATCCCTCACCTAACGCCAGCCGCTTTTTCCTTACCCAGATTCTGCAGCCAGAGGGAGTGCAGGCAAATCTTCCCAGAGCATCTCCTCCCAAAGCCCAGGCTTGCCAGTGTGATATGTTCAGTGTATGGGGCAACTAATACGTGTAATGGTATCAATTGAATTGTTTTTCCCTTTTCAGGCTAATGGAGGCTGGCAGGACGCAACTACTCCATCTTCTGTGACTTCCCCTACAGAAGGGCCGGGAAGTGTGCACTCTGATACCTCTAACTAATCTCCTAGCAACACTTTTTCCCTGAGCTGAGATGCCTTGATTAGCGCATTCAGAGCCACAGGAGAAAAAGGAAAAGAGTTTTTTTGTAGCCAACCACCTACAGCTTTACTGTAAAACCTTGTCTTATTAGAAAAACTTGGTAAATCTGTTTTTTAAAGGTATCATAATCATTTGTATTTATACTTAAAACACACAATGTTAAAAAGCACTTTATCCAATTAGGCCAAGATTTAGCATTGTTTATAGCCCTGTAACTATTTTATCATAATTTATTATCAGCAGTTTTAACAATGTTGGTCTAACAGTTGCCAATTACTTGGCCTTAAGGGTAAAAGTACAGGACAAGCTTAACCTCAATAGCAAGAGCAGACACAAAGAACCGCCTCACCTAAATTTAACTTTGTGCATATTTCCATGGAAAGTCGGAATGAATTGCAGACTTTGATTGTGTTTCCTCTTTTCATATCTCTTATAGAGTTGGAATAAAAAGAGCTGTTCGGTTATTTCGGTTAACAATGGTTGTGTTTAAGAATCCTTATTCGTCACATTTTTGTTGTGATCTGTTGTCTTACAAATTAGATTGGAAACCAGGAACATCTTTTCTTGCTAAAACTACCCCGGACCCTGAGTCTCCTCCCTGTGTTTCGACACCGGCCATAGGTTGTACTTAGGAGATGAAGACACTTGCTGCTGATGTCTGTGAAAGCCAAGACCCGGGGTTTTACAGTACGAGCTAGGTGCTGCACACGCCTGCCAAGGCTTGGTACCTCTTCTTGGCAGCACACCGCAAACAAAGGAAAAAGGCAAAGGAAAAAAAGCACCATCATATGGAGTGTTGTACATAGTGTAGCAAAAGAGTATTTATACATCTCACCAATCAAACACAGCTTTATTACCTCATGCGAACTCATACAAACCAATAGACTTTCAACATGTTCTGTAGCTTAGAGTGCTCACTTACTACCTCTGAACGATACTCACGCTGTAGTTTGTCTCTTTCTTATCTTTTTTGCATCTTGTAATTAACTCTTTGTTTCCCCATGAAATGTAATGTACATTGTAATCTTTTAAAAGAATCAGGGTTGCTTGGGCAACTTTTAAAGAAGCGAAAAGTGGGAACATGGGGGTCTGGGGTTTAACACAAACCAGTGCAACTGTTGTAAATACTGAGAAACATTTTGAATGTTCTTCATCTTGTTACTAATCCACACAGAAAACCAACAACTAATTGTAATGCATACAGACTTCAGTATTCAGTACTGTATATTGCCCCCTGTGTAACAGGGGGCCCTTTCTTTCTCTCTTTTGTATTGTATGCGATTCTGAAACTGATTGAGTCATGAAAATAATTTGTGGCAGTGATTCTAATGTATTAAACCGTTTCGTGTTACTTTCTAACTGGATTACACCCTGGATTGAAAAGTCTTCCTCGTGGTAGTTATATGTAGTTTCAAACATGAATAAACTTTTTGCTTTCATGATCAAACGCTGACGTAGTTTCTTCCTGCTCAGTTGAAGTCAGACCTAGGAGCAAGAATTCAAGTGGAGGTGAAGGAAGGGGTCAGTCTGTTAGATGAGTTTAAAAATCATCATCATATTCCCTCTTGATTACCATCTTTATTTACCATTAACTTTGGAACTACAGCCTCGGCTAGCAAGTATAATGTGATTAGAACAATATTTTTCTTTATTAAACAAACTTTTTTGGAAGGACGTATATATATAAATGCTAATTTTAAGTCTTTTTAATGAAGTAAAGGTCAATAACAGGTAATAGCCTATTTACCATATCTCAAGGAAATTGACTCACAGGAAATCAAATTAACGTTAATCACTTGCAGCAAATGGTCTTTGATAAATACAACTACTTACTACTGGGTTAGTGGAGCTAGGCAGGAGGAGGCCAGTGCTCACTACTACCAGCCTGTGTGAGGCTGGAGCCAAGGAGCTGCCATCCCTTTCCATTGAGCTGCTCGAGCCTTTAGGTGGTGTTTTGGTGGCTGAATGATCATTTGCATGATTCAGTTCACTTGTGGGTCAGCTTTTAGCAACGATTCTTGTATCAGGTTATTGTGTAAAATACCTTGGTTTACCCAGGACCACAGGCACTGTCTTCTCCCTCTGCATCGCTCATGCACCAGGTACTGCTGCTGACACAACTTCTCCATCGGTGTTAGAATTCAGCCTTGCCTCTTTCACTACAGGTGGTGCATTTAAATACATAAGTGAGTAACTGGACATGCACTGCAAAGCCGTCATTGTCGGTTAATGGGAGATGGGGCAGATGGGGACTGTGGACTTCCAAAGACTTCTGTGTGCAGCAGACAAAGCACCGACCGCTTTGCGTTTGCTGATAGAGCTCCCCAAGCCCATACTCTTGGTGTTTATGCTGCAGCTCAATGGAAACAGTGTTTTACATGTAAAGTGTGTCAGTGGAGGCGTAGGGAGCATAATGAACACGCAGATGTCCCTCATCTTGATCACATCTCTGCTGGCCACAGGCAAGGACCTGTCACACACTGAGGAGGTTCATAGGAAGGCCATCAACAACCTTTGGGCCGCACTTGCATGCCCCACGCCCGCTGGGCATCATTAGCTTGCTTCTTTACAGCATTAAGGCTTTGGGTCCCTTTGAATTACAAGTGCAATTTGGCTTTTCCTTACATTGGAGAACAGCCACGTGGTTACATGGCAAATAATAAACATCCTTTCCTTGAGGCTTGATCACACATCAGAAGGGGTTACTGCAAGCACCAGTATTAGGATCATGCTGCTGATGGTTTTGTGCTTCACCCAGCAGCTACACCCTGAAGGGCCATCGGAGCCTTGTGCAGGAACAGGGACTTGTGCAAGGATCCCTGCTCGTTGCACGCACCCCGGGAGGGGATCTGTGTGCCACCGTGTTCCCATCCTCATCCCTCCCGCCCCGCACTGCTCAGTGGTGCCATCCTCATTCCCTGCACCTGGATTTGAGCTGTTGGTGCAGGTGAGCACTGCAGTGGCGTGGGAGCAAAGCCACCAGCCCTGTGGCTGTGGCTCCCACCAGCCTTGGGAGGTGCCAGCCCAGAGACCCTGCACAGAGCACAGCAGGAATAGCCATGGATGCACAGCGGGAATCGCTGTATCCCATGCATGGCGCTGTCCTGATGAAGGCCATCGCTGCTGTGACAGGCACTGGGATGTCTGAAGGAGAGACCCACGGTGCTCCCCATGTCACAGCGTGAGCAGCCGCTCCATTGGACCTGCTGTGCCCGAAGCACTGTGGCACGGACACTGCGGGAGGGGTGGTGAGAAACCCCACAGCCAGGAGAAGTACCCTGCAGCCCCAAAGATTCCTGTGCCAAAAGCAAAGCAGGTGATGGTCTCCTCTCCCAGGCATTCAGACACCAGTACCTTGCCTTGGATGCAAAGAGGATCCTCAGACCAGGAAGGGAACAGTCAGGGAGACTGCGATATTCCAGCATGGGAAAATCCTTGCCCCACGGGACTGGTCCAACAAGAGCAGCTCGGCTGAAGATGGAACTCGATGCTAACTGTAGCGATGCCTTTTGCAAAGACCACGTGCGAGTGGGATGTAAGAAAGATGCTGATGCCGATATCTGTGCCATGTATTTCCAATGTGATGAAAATAACTCCGAGTAACTGAAGATGTTTCCAGTTTGTATTAATAAAATACATCTTTCTAAAGAATGGAATTCTTCAAAGATTGGCAAATTTTATTTTATTTCATTAGCTTTAATGTCACTGCCATATGGACTGTGAAGAAAAGTGAACCATTAGATCAGAGGGACTGAGTTATCAGCATGACACAGAAAGCACTGATACAATTGTTAAGGATAAGCCCTGGGAGTGATTTATTGCGTGCATTGTATTAGCCACAGAGGAGTTATGATATGCTCCCCATTTCTGTATCATATTAGGATTTTATTAGTCTAATATGACACGGTAATATAATATATGATTAGAATTCCCATCCAGTTATCCTTCCCTTGGTGGCAGAGCAGGGGAAGGTTGTGTGAGCAGCATCTCCCCAGCCATTGCACCCACGGGTGGAGAGGGGATGCCTGGGATGACAGGGATGCTAAAACTGGTGTCCTGGGCTTTCCAGGTGGGATGTGGGTGCTGTGTGCATCCTGGGCACTGAATTTGTTTTCCCCATGCTTCCTGCAATGGGTGACAGCAGGAAGGGTGGTGCTGGCACTAAAATCTTTGCTGACAGATGAGCTGCGTCCTAAAGTACCTACCTGTGCATAGACCAGGCTAATGGGAGCCAGTAGGACTGAGCCGGTAGGATAAGCATGGGAGGCTTGGTGGCATGAATTGGCAGCTGACAGGCTCCTGCTGCCCTTGCTGAGGCCAGCTCCGGCTGGACAAGGACACACAGCTCTGAGCCCTCATGGGCTTGCAGGGTTCCAGCTCTCTTCATGGCCATCCTCTGCTCTCCTGCAGGTTGGATGCAGGCACCGTATGCCCCAGCATCAGAGGTGAAGCCAGGGACTGGCTTCTCTTATCCCAAGTTACAAGTGACAGGACGAGGAAACGGCCTCAAGCTGCACCAGGGCAGGTTTATATTGGATATTAGGAGCAATTCCTTCCCCAAAGAGTGCTCAGGCATTGGAACAGGCTGCCCCTGGAGTCACCGTCCCTGCAAGTGCTCACACACCGTGGAGACAAGGCCTCAGTGCCATGGGTTAGTGGTGGCCTTGGCAGTGCTGGGAACGGTTGGACTGGGTGAGTTCCAGCCTGGTTGAGTCCATGATTCTCTGATGCTGTGATGGTGCTGCCAGTTCAGCTCAGCCTCCGGCTGCAGGATGTGCTGACGTGACACACTAATTGCAGCGCCTCGGTACAGGATCCCGCTTGCCCCCACATCTCTCCCGGTGTGACCCTCATGGAAACTCGACTTTCCCAACAAGACAAACTTCTCTTCAAAGTTTCCCTGGCATCCCCCATCCGCTTGTGGCCAGATCCCCGCGTTCCAACTGGGAGCAGGCTCTGGAGCAGACGCCGTTTGTAGCTGCATTCTTGCCTCCAGCAGCAGCAGCAGGAGAAAAGAGAAGTTCAAGCATATCATAGTGCTACTAGGTGATAAATCCCCAAATCTATATCAAAGCCTATTTGATCATCTTCCTGTCATTGATATAATAAAAAGGATTAATTTATTGGAGACTGCCAAAATCCTCAAGTGGCAACAAATTTAAGGATCTTGTTTACACAGGCTAATTAAAACCAATTACGTTCATTCATATCTGTGGCTACTAATGTGGATGCAGCCGTGCATCTTTGTATAGGGATGCTGGAGGTGCCTATGTGGCAGCGTGGCCATGCCCTGTGAGCCCCTTTCCTGAGTGCTGGGTCCCCTTGGGAAGGTGGTGGGTACCCACTGACATCCCCTCGCCCTTTGCTTTGGGAGAGCAAATGGGGCTGTTGCTCAGGACAGGAGATCACCTACAAGCGCTCTCCATGCAAGTAATAAAAGGCTGCGGTTTTGGTGGCAAAATTCAGCATCAAGAGCACGCGTCATTAAATATGGAAATCCAGAATTTTATTAGCAATCTGCTAGATCTGAACTGACGCCAATTAAACAAAAAAGATATCATTTATAAAAAAGGCCGAGTTCAAGTTGTATTAAATATGAAATGCAATTTTCTGCTGGTTGTGATTTATTACCGTTGGTACATTGTTCAAAGAAGCATGTTATATTTCAATAGAGAAATACTGTTTATTCATTAATATTTTAAAACTTGCTTATTGCTGGGTATGACTCTCCTGCAGAATGAAACTTATGATTTAAAACATGAATTAATAAACACATTTGAAAGTGTTAGACAATATCATAACCGCTCATTTTTCATTTTACTGGGAGCGTATTAAACTTTTATAATTCTATGTGTACTATTATTTTCCAAATAAAGGTATGGGCTCTAAATTACTAATTTCAGGTAAAGATGAGAGAAAGCAATAACATCTGTTGGGAATCAGTCACTATGTCGGCTAATACGGGCTCAGTACTTGTGTTGCTGCATTAGTCATAGATCTTCTGCTCAGTGCCACATCCCCTTAACAGGGTTCCAGGATGCCCCAAGTGCTCCTCCATCAGTAGATGTAGGGTTCCAGGTACACCGGCACCACGGGAATGTGTCGTGCTCCTAATGCAAGGAAACGTTTGATAGAGGCTGACATCCTAAATGAGGCCGAAAATATTTGATACAAAACACGATAAAGCAATAATGATCTCGGAGGCCTTGGGTTATCTTGGTTATTACCTGCACCCACCGCTTGAATCAGCAGCATTAAGGGGTCCAGACCCGATACGTAGATACCTCTGAACTCATTAGTCCTGAGTACTTTATATAGACTCAACCTATCAGCCGCTTGATTTAAACTAACCTTTTTTGTATCTTAAAATCTCTCCTGCCGCAGCCTGGCGGTATTTCCATAACAATAACCGGTATTTCAATTTTAAGAACTCATTTTTCCTCAAAT